TATGCTAATATCTTGTCTTATTTTCTTTATTTGCAACTAAAGCAATTAATTGATTAATTGTATTCCGATTCTCTATTTTAGGAAGTATATTTAGTTGTATTTACTTGTTGTTTTCTCTTGATTATCATTTTTAATTTTATTAATAAAATTTTCATCATATTTACTTGTTAGTTTTTAATTATAAATTGTTCTATGGCTTTATAATTGTTATTCTTTTATGACATATGTTTGAATTAAAAAAATGACATAAATTGAGATGAATTTTGTAATAACACATATAATGTAGTTTACATATCTTGTACCGCCACAAGTATATTCATGTTTATGATTTAACCCAACAATTTAGTTCTTAAAATATTGGGTCTGCTCTACAAATGTCTACCCTACTTAGTCGTGAAAGACTATTATTACTCGGTCTATGTTAAGGTCATGTATTCTGAACTGGTTTATAATGATTCACACTAATTTTCGTTCGTAGTTGAGTAGGCTAAAATCATAAGAATATATATATCCAATTTATTCACTAAAGAAAGACAAAGAATAATTCTACATCTTGATTATTATATGAGTAAGATAATCGTTTTTGCTTTAATGATCGAAGCGTATGTTTTAAATCGTGATAAAGGTATATATTGTGGTTTTCGCAATGTCGGTCTATGAGAATCTTTAAATGAAATATTTTATGTGTTAATTCAGCTTTAGTTACTTATTATATGAGTTTATCACGTTTATTTTATATCATATAAATTGTTAGTTAAATAAGTTAAATCGCGAATTATAAAAATGCATGTTTTGATTTGTATTTGGTTATGTACTTGTTTTATATTGGCTATTTTATTACTATAATTTAATTAAAACCTACTTTGAGAGTTCACATGAATCATTTATTTTAAGATTCAAAGAACATATCCAAAACTCATCAGAAATTAAACTGACTTGAGTGATCGATCTCCTAGTATATTGACGTGAATATGACACTATTTACAAATAAATGGCGCTGATTGGATAAATATGATGCATACGTAGTTGTTGCTCATTTTAGCATACCTACTCAAAACATCAAAAATCTCATATTTAATAGCGACTAACTTGTAATGTCAAGGCATGCATACTTTATGCTTTTATAGTTGTCTTAGTAATGTTACTTCCATTAATTCTCCTTTAAAACGAATATAAATCCTTAAAACTATCTTTTCTTTGAAAAAATTATTCTATAGTTGGTGTTATACACGAAACACAAAATTTAAAATTTCGTAAAATCATATAAATCATCCACATTTGGTAACACAAGAAACCATAATTGGAATCTTCGTTGGAGGATGTGAGATTTGAAGACACATTCAAAAACTAAGATTCCTTGTAACAAAATTTAACATTATTAATGATAAGAAACTTTTCTAAGTATTAATGCTATGTTCTATAATTCTATTTTTGAATAAAGATTCTCGAGTCTATTGGTGGATTTTACCTTATCTGAATATTAATTTCTTAACATATTTTTTTTTACATTACCAATTCCCAAAAAGATATATTACGGCTTGTGAGTGAATATTTCATACCATTGATGAAACTTATGAAAACTTTATACACTAATTTTGTCAGTTTTTGTCATTCAAGGATATACGATCATTTTTGTAGTAGTATATTTTGATTTTTCTTAAATCTGTGATAAAGACGTAAATATATGTCTTCTCACAATTATATGTATTTTTTAGTTTTTATAGTAGTGTGTGTATAAATTGTGAAATAGATGACATACAATAAACTAGTATCATTTGGATTAATGAAGTTTCTATATTAAGTATTTTGATGCACGTCTACAATTACCATATCCTAATAATTGCTTTATGTTTGTGTAACATTTAATCCGTATGTTAAGATTAGAGATATGCATCTCGTATCCATAAAAATATTTTTTTGTAATGTCAATGTACGTCTAGCTAGTACCATATGCATGTATGTCGAATTGCAATATATAGAAACATATATATTTTTATTGCATTGTTCCTTGAATAAAATAAGCAAATACCTAATTTTATTTTCATCTTATTTTTTATAGACTTCATAGGTGGACATGATTAGCAAGAAATGAACTCGTTGGATGATATCATCTTTAGAAAATTTTCTAAAAGATTTTTATCTTGCATGGACAAAAATAAATGCAAACCTAAAATGTGAATTAGATGATGCGGAAGAGATGAACTTGTCTATAATACCATGTTTTGCACATGTTTAAAATCCTGTCTAACATATGCTTATTCTCTGGAAAACTTCTTGTTTGGCTTTTTATGCAAACAAACCATAACAGAGAAGAAGCATGAGATGTGTATATATAAAATAGTTTATAACAAAAGCGTACAATGTTTATATATCTGCAACAAAAGCATTCAAACCAATCTCATGCAATAATAGATAGAGGCACTTATTGAGGTGTTCCATGTGCTCCCTCCCGAGACATACTTGTTTTTAGAGTTTTTTTCTTTTTCATAAAACCAAGACATGCTGTTTATGAGAACTTCCCTCTCATAATACACTCTGTTAAAGTCATTCTTCTCTTTCAAGCATATTTGAGCTTCCTCTAGAAACACCTCTTATGTATCATTTTTCGTAGGACAAACTTTACATATTTAAAACATAACTCATGCATAAGAAAAATACGAAAAATATTACATATGTTGTAATAGTAACGCCTCCCAAAAGAAACACCTTATGGAAGATCCACAGCTTTCATAGCAATTTCCTAATTTATGATAGAAATTTATCCACCCTTTTTTTTTTTATCCTTCCTAGAAAACTCGGTTCTCTAGCAACATTCTAACAATAATAAAAAAATTATATATATGAGGATGCCACGAAATCTCAAAAATATCTTCCATTCTTACACTATATAAGATGGAGATGTATGTTATAATTTATTATTTTGACGAGCATGGTTGATCGCAAAAATCTCTCAAGAAAGAAGTTGGACTCACTTTTGTAGCGAGTGTGATGAAGATTCATGGATTTAAACATTTTCATGTGAGGAGTACAGTATGATCCAACTAATATATCTTCCTCTTGGAATGTATATGAACTCAAGACAAAAGATGCATAAGCATCATCATTTTTGAAACACCACCTATTCTTAAAATGACATTCTTTCTTGTGACGAGAAAAGTCAGAGCGTGTGCCTATATATTGTTTTGTGGCAAGCATGATAGATATGACAAATCTTTCTAGAGATTTTGCATTCATGACGAGTGTGACAATAATGTGCAAAACTAGCTCTGCTTCCACAGCAAACATTATCCAACTAACATACTTTTTCTGTTAGATACCCAACAAAGACTACAATAACATAGACAATTGTTGGAGTAATTTATTAGCTATCCAGAGATTAGGTGAATCATTTACTGAGCACACAAGAATGAATTGTTAGTAAAACTGCATTCGGTGGAGCCTACCAATGTTTTCATCTTTCTAAGCACTTTAAAACGACAAGCACATACAGTCCTTAACAGAGTTGGCCTTGAATAAAAGCAACTCAAACGCGCTTGCAATCTTGTATGTTAATGAAGTTGGTTAAAGAATTTAAGTGATATAATAAGAGGTGGCAGTTTGAGCCCTTGCTTTTTTGTTACATTTTTCTTACTCATTGTATAAGAGGTCCACAATGTTTACTTTTTGCTTCTACCCCACAAAATCTCAAGGGCGGCTCTCATCCTAAACTCGTGGGAAAGGTTTTTGGAATATAGACATCTCATCAAATCTGTGAGAGCTCGAGAATAAATATATCAAATTCTCACTCATAAATTACCCCAAGCATGTAGGCCATGTGTAGTTGGATTTCTCCTCTAACATCCAAAATAAACACTTTGAACTGTAGTAAATATCTTTAGCTTTTCAAGCTAGTTTCTTTGGACCTCAATTTTTTAAACCAACTCTATTTTTGACATTCCAATATACCACCATGTAGTGCTCAAGACAAAAATTTATCGTGTCCATAATCGGTCATTCCGATGAGAGTTTTCACCAAAAAATCTACCGAAAAATGGTTAAAACCATTATGTCAAAAATAAGTTCCAACAAAATCGGCCAAGCGCCAGATGATACTGAAGAATGATTGCACAGATAAATGCGTTTGTTTATTGTCTAGCAAAAAGGGATACTTAGAAATTATAGCTATTGATGTCATGTCTCATCCATTAAAAGCATACTCCAATTGGTGTGCTATAACTTGACAACCTCGAAACCCAGCTTACGAATCCCAATTAAACAATCATTTACAAATACCTTTCCATATCGCACAATGAAATAGATTCCCGATTTCAAATAATAGAATACCAAGAAGCGAGAGGAATACTGATTATTTTATTTTACGCAGCTTTCCTTTTTATGAGACTAAATGTGTTATTAATCTCCAAAGCATCTGATTGACTGATGTTATGTAAGAAATCAATGACCTTTTTGGTTCATAAGAAACAACGTTAAGAAATAAGATTCCTCTGACTGTTTTGGTTTATTTACCTACTAACAACAAAATATGACCAACAAATTTTAATGAAAACAAGTTAAACATTCTATAGATTTACATATTGGCAAGTTTGTCAGGGAGCTTAGGACCATTAGACAACTCTGAAAGATACATGTTAACACAGAGCAGAACAAAGTCCGGTCACTTCCTTACGCCTAATCAAAATAACTTGTTGAATGATCTGCACAGTAAGGACCATGCAAGTAGAATCATGAAACTTTTACTGAGAGTTATAGATTAAATAGCTTATTATAATACCATGGAATCACCAGATCCGGTCCCCCGATGATGATGATAACGATATTCCTCCTTTCTGAAAGACCACAGAAGCTAGAAATTCGATAAAATTCACGAAAACAAGGTTCGAGCTTGAACCTCTCTTCATTATATTAGTGACAATGCAGTAGTACAAAGATCTAACCAACAGTTTGGATTTACCACAAGGAGATAAAGGTGATGTTAACCTCCAAAACTGACATTTCACTCAAAAATTACTCACTTTTTATACATTAAGTATCTCAGCTTCACCAACTGTACATTTAGAACAGACTGTTAAGATTCCGATGATCTATTCTTATCCTGGCTAAGACAAGGGTTACTCTTACTTGTGTACTAACATCACCGATCATTATTCTATGGTTCACTAATTAAATAGCACCTAACAAGTCTTGAGGAACTAAACTAGTCTATGACTAAATCTGTAAAAGAAATCCAGAATCTGCAATCAAGCTATAGAGGAAAACAAAAGGAAGAGATTTCTTATTCCTTGTTACCGAATCTCTTGGCAATGACAGGACGAACATCGTTGGCATCAGCCAATGACTCTAAGAAGGGAAGTAATGTAATCAGACTATCATCAGTTGGATCATCATACCAACTTTTGATAGGGATCCCATTGTTTATTTGCAATCTGTACACCTGAAACAAGAACAATGAGAATGAGGGTCCATGTACAAATTCTGCACTGTGGATTCTATCACTGAGACTAAGGCTTCTATTGGAATGTGAGTGAAAAGCAGAAATTAATGAAACACAGGTACTGAAGTGAATCCTTTAGAAAATACATGTGGACAGTTGTCAATTATAGCCACTTTTGCCAGATCAAGACCCAAAACAGTTAAATCCTTGCTATAAATCCCATCTGTAAGAATGCATGAATCTCGGTAAAAACGTTGCGATACAAACTTCCCATCTGGATCCAATATATCTAGAAGCTGAGACGCATAGATGCTGTGACTAGCTGTGAAGATGACAACATGAAAAAGTTCAACCACCCTCTCTAAGAACCTATAAAGGTGTGGCCTTTGTTTGACGTAAACATTGTTCTCTTGCATATTGAAAGACACTCTGAAGGAAAAGTCTGTATCTCTGCAGGCTTCCAGAGTCGAATGGACCAGAGTTTCTGCAAGTCACAATAAGTGATTAGTAAGTGTGGTGGTACCATGGAGGCACATAGTTAACCAAGTGGCTAAATTGAAGACATCAAACCATGCATAACAAAGAAACACTCCAATTCACAATTATAGACACAAAACTTATTTATATAGACATCAAACTATGCAGAGATATTTATATCCTATCATCCAAATCGAGAACAAGGGTTACCGCCTTCCTTTTTAAAGAGTCATTTGGCTGCATATCAGGGAAATAACTGAATACGACATCAGATAATTCCGGTTGATTTCTTAAGAAAAGCTGAGGATCAAAATCTTCAGTTTCTTCAGATTCAGCATGAGCATCTGCTGCTTCCAAGTTTTGTGATCTTGACAGATTGAAAGCCATAAACATGTCATGTTTATCAACATTAATCCTGCTATCCTCATCAGACTTAACATCATCACGACTGGCTGATCCATCTTCTAAGTAAGGTAATACCATGTACTGCTCAGCTACATCTAATAACACACTTGGCTCTGGAAAGATGCAACGAGGCAAGGGACTTATCTCAGTGAAAAAGGAGAAGGAAGATCATCCCAAGATTTGTCTGTTTAATTTATTGTCTTTCTTTTCTTTTGATGGTGTATATTTCATGGAGAGACAATCTATAATGAATAAAGGGCAATCATACTTGAGAGAGAGAGAATAACTATTGGATTTCACACAAAACAGATAGAATAAGCTTAGGAGAAAACTTTCATATTATCATTATCAGAGCCATTTTCAAGAAATTAACCTCTAAGTAATTTGACCTTTCACCACTGAGGCTTAATGTTTTTTATTTTATTTTAGTGGTGGTTATTGCATGAATAGAAAGCACTCAAATCAAAATTAACACATCAATGCAAGAAATAAACTTTCTTTATTCTTTACGTTAGATCCCACAGCTAAGATTGGTTCGATTTCTCAAATACATACGGACCAAAAATTGGCATAATTCACTACTCTATCTCTCTCTCTCAAATACGTATTGTACTTTTAAGGAAAAGTAACACTCTTAGAGTCTTAGTAACAAAATTGAATAACATAAAATTTAACAATTCCATTTATAGGCTAATTTGGTTTGAATGGAGCCGCCGAGAACATAAAACATAATAAAAGCTTTAGTTGATATCTACGTCAACAACCATGAACCAAAAACATTAGAAATCATGCATGAGAATATATTTAATCATGTGTATATAATCGAATACAAAATTTGGAGAGATATTTCCATCTTCAATAATGATATAGTAAGGAAATAAATGTATCTTTAAGTTGGAAACTTGATTGAAACCTATTTCTTTTGAACTAGATGAATGTAGCCACGGTACGCGTGACTTGTTACATTTTTATTATAAAAAAAAAAACTGAAGTGAAAACTAAAAAAAATGATGTTTTTAATATTATCACACAAATTCTTATATGTTTACAGTGGACACATTTTAACATTACTTATTACGACTCGAAATGTTTTAAATTATTTGTATATCATAATAAAAAAAACATATATAAAGAATATTGTATTTTCTAGATAGATCTAACACCTTCTTACATTTTATTAATTCTAAATTCTATTATAGTCAATTTCAAGAAAATTTAATTTATTTAGATATTGTACATTTTTCATTAAAGATTTTAATTTAAAAAAATTTAAAATATTGAATAATGCTTTTGTTTAAATAAGTATATAAAGAGAATAGTCATACACCAATAGTGGAAAAGGAAGATTGATCATTTCAATTCGATTCACTTATTGTGTGAATATTAAAATAGTTAGCTATTGAACTTCCATAGATTAATCGACAAAACAGATAAATATTATACTAAGAATTTTAAAAACTAAAGATGAAAGAAATACATTCTTGTAATGCGATAGAAACAAAATAAAATTGAATACAATATAAACTACATATGTACCATATAATCTCTGAAAATAAAATAAACAAAATAAAAAGCGAATACAATATAAACTACATATCATATAATCTCTTACAATCAAACTCTTACCATCACTATGACACAATTGTTTTATAACTCATGCAAGAACATAAAAATAAAGTAAATTTACAGATATGAAAATATGATGGAAGATGATAAGAGAATGAATATTTATAGATGAGAAGTGGTGAAACTCTTATAATTATTGAGTAAAAGTTACAAATTATTATTGATTGGTAGGAGTTACAATCTAAGCTGCATGGAATCGGAAGCGGGTACTCGGAAGCGGAAGCGTTCGGAAGCGGGGAAGCGAGTTTTTCTAAAAAATTAGGAAGCGGGTACGTATTGGAAGCGTATATATATATTTCCTATATATGTATATATATATAATTCATAAAATTCTAAACATAGAATTGTTTTAAAATATTGTAAACAACAACTCCAGCACATAATATAATTGCAACTCATTTAAAAATAATGCATGAAGTAATAACTGAAGAAAAAAAAAGAAGCATAGCACAAGTGCACAACAATTAGACAATAAGCCATAATTATGAACAATACAAACAACACTTTGGAAATAACACAGGACACAAACAACAGTTAGATTACAAAATACGATTAACTACTCTTTCTTCTAGTTTGTGATTTTGGGGGCAAAAATCATTTCATAACTTCTTATCTCCTTTGTTTTTTTATTGTTATTAGGTTTTAACTTTTACGTTTATTATAAAGTGGGTTAAGTTGGACTTGGGCCACAAAACAAATTAGAAAATAGAAGCCCAACACATTAGACTTCATCTTCTCCAGTCACGATTCCGATCTACATCACCAGCGCTTCCAATCCCGAATCGTACGGTTCCAACACGCTTCCAAACGCCTCACTTTGGGAATCGCGATTCCAAGACGATTCTGAGCGATTCCGCTTCCGCTTCCGATTCCGAAGCGAGAAACGCATCACTTTTGGCGATTCCATGCTTCCTTGGTTACAATTGAGATTAAATGTAGAGTTTAAATTATAGTCAATACAATTTTCAAATAGTTAATGTATATTAGTGGAGGAGTTACAAATGAATTTAAATGTGGAGTTACACATGAGGTTTAAAGTAAGTTAATTAGAGATGAATATAATACAGATTTTTTAAAAAAATATGAAAAATGCCAAGTGGCCCCAATAAGGAGAGAGTGAAATCTTACTTTTATATGTATGATTCTAGGGAAAGTAGGGCCAAATTTTTTCAACTCGTCTTCTTCACCTGAGTTTTTCACATCACCGGAACTTCCAATTTCTCATCGTCTTCCTCTTCTTCTTCAATTTCTTTCATCCTTCTCCCGATATGGTTGATCCGGTTCCGGTAATTGTTGTTTCCGGTAATTGGGTATAGAAACACAAATACGTATTTAACACCGATGAAAGAGGGTGTAGAGTTGTGCAGATAGATGCAGAAACAACGCACGAAAAACTTGTGAAATTGGTGCTCGATGATAAAGTTAGACGAAATGTTGCGTCTCTTATTGTTTCGCGGAAAATTTACATGTCACGGCTGAGTTATATGCTTAAGGGAAGACGAAAGGTTCGGTCAATTTACATGTCACGGCTGAGTTATATGTTCCAGGGAAGACGAAAGGTTCGGTAAAATTACATTACGGCTGAGTTATATGCTTAAGGAAAGACGAAAGGTTCGGTCAATTTACATGTCACGGCTGAGTTATATGTTCCAGGGAAGACGAAAGGTTCGGTAAAATTACATTACGGCTGAGTTATATGTTTAAGGGAAGACGAAAGGTTCGGTATATTTACATGTCACGGCTGAGTTATATTCTTCAGAGAAGACGAAAGATGGGTGTAAATTATATGTTACGGCTGAGTTATATGCTTCAGGGAAGACGAAAGGTTCGGTAAATTACATGTCACGGCTGAGTTATCATTCAGGGAAGACGAAAGGTTGTGTAAATTATATGTTACAGCTGAGTTACATCACGTTACGGCTGAGTTACATCACTTTACGGCTGATTTATAATACAGATCGGAAAGCAACATTTTTTTGGAGAAGACAATATGAAATTTATTGGTCAAATAACAACAATCAAATTAAGATTCGTAAAAATATGTTTGAGGGATACATAGGAGGAAGACTAAACCGTATGAATCAAAACATAGATAGAAGTAGAAATGTCTCCAAATAGATCGATTGAGAGGAAGATTAAACGAGAGACATGTAAAATCAAAGTAAAAGAGTAGCTATTCTTGATTTCAACTCAAACCTGTAACGAATCATGTAGAATTCCATAGATCTCTTTGATTTGGGTTTTGATTTTTGATGATTTTTGTAACGCCCGTCTCCCGGGAAATAGATTTTTATCGGACATAAAAATATATGTATAGAGTTATATACATATATATATATATATATATGTATATATATATATATATATATATATATCAAAAACGTCTTTGATCCGAATAAATCTGTAGGATTGTGTTTCTCTCTTTTGGGAATCAATCTGGGGTGTTTCGGGAATGGAGTTTTCTCGGGAACGGAAAGTATGTCGCGTTTATGAGCCTTAGACAAGTCTTGAAAATTAATTATTTGGTGAGAAATAATTAATTTACATTTGTTCAGGGGGTGTCATAATTCGTTTCGAAAGTTTTCAGTTTCAGGAAACGGAACTGTAAAACTGCGGGGCTTTTTCTGAAAAAGGTTGGGAAAAAGCCTACTTTGACTTTCTTTTCACCTAATCTTTCTCCTTTCTTCTTCCTAAGTCGTTTTTGAGAACAAGAAACGCAGAGAACAGAGTCTTTGGGCGTTGGAGAGGAAGAGAGAAAGAGAGAAAGAGAGAAAGAGAGAAAAAGAGAAAGAAAGAAAGAGAGAAGGAGAAGAGAAGAGAAGAAAGGAGAAGAGAGGCTGACAGGACGCGTTTTGGTAGAACAGAGGATCGACCTAGCAAATCGTCTCCTTTCTTGACGAAATTTTCAGGGATTGTAGGTAAGACTTATATCTAGTTATGGCCGTTTGCGGATGTTGATTCGAGTCAATATTCTAAGAGTTATCTCTGTTTTCGTGAGATCGTTGGTTTCAGACGCGATTTGGACCATTGGCTGTTCAAAAGACGATCGTGAGTGAACCGGTTATCTGATCGTTACGAAATTTGGTGGAATTGTAGGTAAGCCTTAGAGCTAGATGCGACTCTTTGCGGTTTTGGATTTGAGTTATTATTCTGAAAGTTATCCACGTTTTCGTGGGGTGCTCTGTTTCAGACGCGATTTGGGACCAGCGTGGGTTCAGGGTAGGATCGCGAGTTCATCTGTGAACGGATCATCACGACACTTTGTGGGTAGCTTCAGGACATCTAGAGGCTTATTTTCACCGGAGCGATTTCGAAGTGAACGGTTAGAGTTTGTTGCACGAGCCAACCTTTGAGACAGACCGTTTCTGTTCTTTCCCAGTTTATGGGTTAAGTGTTGTTTTGGTTGTTGGGTTGGCTGTAGGGTGTGAGTTAGAGGAAGGGCGAGCTGTGGTTGGCGTGTGAGTGAGTCACGGTTGGGTTGCTGTTGTGGTTCTTGTCCAAAACTCGTTCCTTGTTTCGAGGTGAGTGCGTGACCATGAGCTTATCTAAGCGATTGGGGTTTTGTGACTTGTTTGTGTGATGTGTAGGTTGGATTTTTGATGGATCCAATAGTTTAAACCGTGAGATGGTTGTGTTATTGGATGATTGTCATTGGTTTGTTTGTTTTCATGAATTATGTGTTGAGTTGCGATCTTCGTTGCTTGTGTGTATAGCTCGTAGATGGGAGGATCGCCTCACTAAGTATTTTTGGTAATACTTACGCATCTCTGTGTGTTCTTGAGTTGCAGGTAAGGATAAAGTGTGAACGTGGAATCATGGCGATGAGGAGGAGGATGATCTAGGGTCTCGTCGTTGTTGTTGTATAATGTGGTTATCGAGTCATAGTATTTATGTTTAATAACTCAAAAACGGTTTGTTTATGTGTGTTTAATTTTCAGATAATTTGTGTTTTATGGTTAAACCGGATTTATTTGATAAGTTAAGCGAATTGGGTTGCTTTGTTTAATTGTTGAATTAAATGGAAAATGGAGAAATAATTAATATTTATAGGAATATTAGTTATATTAAAAAAAAAAAAAAAACGGGTGTGGTCGTTTTTCATTTTGGTATCAGAGCGTAGACGGTTCTAGGATGGTTTAGGAAAATTAATTGGAGTTTAATTAATTTTCGTGATGCTTGTTTCGTGTTGTTTGAACCGTGGTATTGTATGCTAGAATTGATTATGTGATATTTAGTCAATTTGATTGAGCATGGAGTCTTAGAATCATCCTCTTCGAGCCTTTAATGAGATTCCACGGTAAGTTGCGTTTTTGTTTCTGTTGAGTTGTTTTGAGTCCTTAGCATCTGTCTTGGTAGTGAGATGGCTAGAGGTGCTAGAGGTCGTGGTAGGCCCCGTGGTAGAGGTCGTGGTCGTGTACCAGCGGTGGCTGAGAGTGTAGCGCAAAGTGCTACGGTTGAGCGGGTCGCATATTCGCATGTGTATCAGGAGGGGCGGGAGAGTGAGGCTGGTTTGAGTGCCGGTGTGGCAGGAATTCCAGCGGGTACTGCGGGTATTGCAGCGGGTGTTGCTCGGGCCCAAGATGATCGCATAGCGAATTTGTTGACTCTGCTGTTGGAGCGGTTACCAGAGAGGGTACCAGTTCAGGCTCCTGTTGTGCCACCAGTGGTCGAGGTGCAGCCTAGAGTTGAGGTTGCGGAGGAGCTTCCATCCTACATAAGGTTGATGGAGCAATTGCGGAGGATTGGCACTGAATTCTTCCGAGGAGGTGCCAACCCTGAGGATGCTGATGCGTGTAGGACTCGCATGGAGCAGAACTTTCAATCGATTAGGTGTCCAGAGAGATACCGAGTTGACTTGGCAGTTCATTACCTGGAGGGTGATGCACATCTTTGGTGGAGGGGTGTTGCCGCCATGAAGGTTCAGGTGTTCACAGATCATAAGAGCCTGAAGTACATTTTCACTCAGCCTGAGTTGAATTTGAGGCAGAGGCGCTGGATGGAATTAGTGGCAGATTATGATCTGGAGATAGCTTACCATCCTGGTAAAGCTAACCTGGTTGCAGATGCTTTGAGCCGTAAACGAGTGGTTTTGGCTCGGAAGCAGGATATGGAGTCGTTGGTGTGTGAACTTGGTTCTTTGAGGTTATGTGTTTTATCTCAGGAGCCGTTGGGGTTAGAGGCAGCTAATCAGGCAGATCTTCTGAGTAGAGTTCGGTTGGCTCAGGAAAAAGATGAGGGTTTGGTTAATGCTACAAGAGAAGCGGGTTCAGAATATCAGGTCTCTGCTAATGGGACTATTCTGGTGCATGGGCGGGTATGCGTACCCAAGGATGATGATTTAAGGTGAGAAATCCTAAGTGAGGCTCATGCGAATATGTTTTCGATTCATCTGGGGGCGACTAAGATGTACCGGGATCTCAAACGGTATTATCACTGGGTCGGGATGAAGAAGGATGTGGCTAACTGGGTCGCGTCATGTGATATGTGTCAGTTAGTAAAGGCAGAGCCGAGTGGGTTGTTGCAAAGTGTACCCATTCCAGAGTGGAAATGGGATATGATTACGATGGATTTTGTGGTTGGGTTACCCATTTCTCGGACCAAGGATGCTATTTGGGTCATCGTGGATCGTTTGACCAAGTCGGCACGTTTTCTGGCCATCAAGAAAACCGATGGAGAAGCGGTTTTGGCTAAGAAGTACGTGAGTGAGATAGTGAGACTTTATGGAGTACCGGTGAGTATAGTGTCGGACCGGGATCCTAAGTTCACTTCGGACTTCTGGAATGCTTTCCAGGCTGAGATGGGCACTAAGGTGCATATGAGTACGGCTTATCATCCTCAGACGGATGGGCAGTCCGAGAGGACCATCCAGACTCTTGAGGATTTGCTGAGGATGTGTGTGCTTGACTGGGGAGGTCATTGGGTGGATCACCTGGGTTTGGTAGAGTTTGCTTATAATAATAGCTACCAAGCAAGTATTGGGATGGCTCCATACGAGGCGCTGTATGGGAGACCATGTCGTACACCGTTGTGCTGGACCCAAGTGGGGGAGAGGAGCACATTGGGTGCGAGTTTTGTTCAGGAAACTACGGAGAAGATCCGGGTTTTGAAGCTGAATATGAAGGAAGCTCAGGATCGGCAAAAGAGTTATGCTGATAAGAGGAGAAAAGAGCTTGAGTTTGAGGTGGGAGATAGAGTGTATCTCAAGATGGCAATGTTGCGGGGTCCTAACAGGTCCATTACCGAGACTAAGTTGAGTCCGAGGTACATGGGTCCATTTAGGATTATTGATCGAGTTGGACCGGTTGCATATCGGTTAGAGTTGCCACAGATTATGCAAGCATTTCACAAGGTTTTTCATGTGTCGATGCTAAAGAAGTGCTTGCATAAGGATGATGAGGTAGTGGTTGAGATTCCGTCTGATCTCCAGCCTAATATGACCTTAGGGATGAGACCAGTGAAGGTTCTCGAGAGGAGGGTCAAGGAACTACGTCAGAAGAGGATTCCGATGATGAGAGTCTTGTGGGACTGTGACGGTGTTCAGGAAGAAACTTGGGAACCAGAGACGCGGATGAAAGCAAGATTCAAGAAGTGGTTTGAGAAACAAGCAGAGGCTTGAGCTTTTCATCGTTGGTTTCCAGTTTCGAAGCTTGAATTGTATGCTTGTTGTTCATTTTGTATTTCGTTTCGGGGTTGTAGACGATTAATACATGATGATTTTCCATGAGATGAGTATTTCTTATGGATTATGACATGAGATGTCATGTGTTCTTGATTGACAATGTGATAATGAAAAGAAGTTTATGAGAATTTAAACTGGAAATATCCTTCCAAATGGGATATGGGAAAAACAAACCTGATTAATTGGGATGTTAGTGATGACCTGAGTATTGGTCATATTTGAGAAGATATTCCGGGTTTGGAATATGGCTGGTTGAGTATGACATTGCGATGTTGTATGCGAACCACGAGAGGTAGTTTCGGTCGAAGATGCTTGTAGACGTATAGATATGATTGCTCTAGGGACGGTTGGTCCTGGACAACTCGTTAGGGAATGGATAGTTTCCCTGGTACCGAGAGCTCGTAAGGTTATATAGCCCAGAGTGTGAGTGGTACGGATATGATACCCATAGCTTGACGGATATGTGGCCGGAGGGTGTGAGTGGTATAGGTTTGATACCGATAGCCCGATGGACATGTAGCCTGAGAGTGTGAGTGGTATGAGGCAGATGTCGATAGCTCGAAGGACTTTGTGACCTGAGAGTGCGAGTGGCATGGGGTACCGAGAACTCGAGGGACTTTGGTTCTGAGAGTGGAGTGGTACGAGTATGAGTTGGGAGCAATGCATATCTAGGACGTGGGTATGAGCATAGTGACTGAATGTAGACCTCATGTGGCATGTTGTTCTTGTGTGCTGGGATCGGTGTTGATCCTGTGCGGTGACCTTGGTGGTCGGGAGGTTGTGGTGACCTCGGAGATTAGTGGTTAATCTCGTGTATTGGCTTGTGGGCCAGGAGGCTATGTGAGTCTCAGGGAGGTGGTAGTACCTTGTGTGTGTGCTGATTTGGCCGGTGGGCCAAGGGTTGCAGTAGTCGTTGCGACGACGGGTTCATTAGATATGAGCGGGATCATTGGAGATGATCGGATCATTAGAGATGATCGGTAGCATAAGATTCGAGGACGAATCTATGTTAGTGGGGGAGAATTGTAACGCCCGTCTCCCGGGAAATAGATTTTTATCGGACATAAAAATATATGTATAGAGTTATATACATATATATATATATATATATATATATCAAAAACGTCTTTGATCCGAATAAATCTGTAGGATTGTGTTTCTCTCTTTTGGGAATCAATCTGGGGTGTTTCGGGAATGGAGTTTTCTCGGGAACGGAAAGTATGTCGCGTTTATGAGCCTTAGACAAGTCTTGAAAATTAATTATTTGGTGAGAAATAATTAATTTTGTTGTAAAAGTCAAGGAAAGCTGCAACTTCAAATACACATGCGTAAACGATCGTAAAATAATATTTTGTGTGGAGCCCACTGTCACTATGCAGCATAGTAACTTATCTTTTCTACCTCTATATAAACGATCGAAATCGTTCGATGTAATACACACCTTCATAATTCATTACTTCAAATATAAGAGAAGTAACAAACATCTCTCTCTCTCGTCTCTTTACTATTCAGTATCCCGATCCGTCTGCGGGTATAAAATTTCTCTCTTATTTATTATTTATATTCACCATAAAATAAAGTAATTATTTATAACACGTTATCAGCACGATCACTCTATGATCGCTGAAAAAAAATACGGTATTATACCGGGCGGTATGTCGCCTCGTTAAAAGAAAAAAAAAAATATAACGAGAAAAAGAAAAAAAAAGGAAAAGAGAAAAAGAGAAAAGAAAATTATATAAATAAATAAAAGAAACTATATATGTATATATATATTACTTCATGCACCATAATTAATTATTTTCTGTTAATGGTTGGCTGAGCCACCTGAAATTTTATTCACTGCTTTAAATATTTATTTCTGCTACCGGTCGGCTAAGCCGCCTTAATTTTATGCGCTGCTTTAAATATTTATTTCTGCTACCGGTCGGCTGAGCCGCCTTAATTTTATGCGCTACTTTAAATATTTATTTCTGCTACCGGTCGGCTGAGCCGCCACATATTTATTTATTGTTTCTATGTGGATGACTCCGTGACCATAATATCACCCGTGAATTATTTGTTTATATTTTGGTTAATATATAAGGAGGCTCGGCCACCTGTATAAAAACCTATTATCTGAATTTGGTAAATTTAACTGATTGGCTATTAAAATTTATACATTGATTTTCTGTTTAATTCTTTTCACCAACGGTCATGAAGAAAATTTTTAAAAATTTATCACTTTTCAAACGGCTATGAACAGTAATTTTCAATCTATAAATACACTCATTTTCACTCATTCATTCACTCAAAAATCATATCTCTCCTCATATATTTTTCTAAGAAATTTGTTTAAGTTTTCATTTTGGAAAATGACTCATCCGTTTTTAGTTTTTGTAATAGGCTTTATAATTGTTGCAATTTACGGTTTACTCTTTGGAGAATTTTCTCCCGAAGAAATTTTGATGGTTATTATTTTACTTTTTTATGTAATTGTATTTCTTGTAATCGCATTGCTTATATAACCACATCCCATGCTCTAAAATGAAATAAATTAAATTTCTAATAAATTTCTTTGTGATTTTATTTTAGATATCTAATGGCAAGCATTCAGAAGCTTATGTTTCCAGTTCTAGACATCACTTTGGCCAATTATATATTTTGGATTGCCAACGTCGAACTACATTTACAATCTCTTGGCTTAATAAATACCATAAAAGAGAATAATACTTCGACGGTTCAAGAAAGGGAAAAATCGGTGATCTTTATTTTAAGACACCTTGATGAAAGTATCATATGTGATTATGCACACATAAAAGATCCCAAAGAGATCTGGGAATCCCTAAAAGCTCGATTTGATAATCGAAAGGCAATAAATCTCCCACTTGTTCGGGATGAATGGCAAAGTCTAAAGTTCAAAGACTTTGATAAAGTGATGAATTATAATTCCGCTATGATGGAAATTGTGGTTAAACTGAAATATTATGGTGATATTATCACTGATTCTCAGATGCTTGAGAAAACGTATACCACGTTCCATGAAAACCACATTACCCAGCAAAAACTGTATATGTCATACGGGTATACCGAATTTTCGGATTTATTTGTGGCACTCCTAATAGCGGAAAAGATTAATGAGACCGCTCATGCGGTTAACTAAAGAGCTTGTATTGAGACTGCTGAAATAGTCTCTAGTTATGCCATATATGTATAATATTATGCTTTTATTATTTTGAAAAATAATGTTGTTTTAACAACAATTTAATGTATAATTATTGTGTGTTTTCCTTTTATAAAATTTACTTTCTTTATGTTTATCTTAATCACAGAAATGGATGAAACAATCTCCAAGGAAATGGCTCAAGAAATTTGTATACCAGATAGTGGAACAACACACACTATTCTGAAGGACAAAAGATATTTCTCTAACTTAAAACCGACAAACGTTATTGTCAATACAATATCAGGTCCTGTAGACGTGATTGAAGGAACTGGTATGGCCAACTTTATGTTGCCTAATGGAACCAAGTTTTCCATAAAAAATGCCTTGTATTCTCCAAACTCTAAAAGGAATTTGTTGAGTTTCAAAGACATATACCTTCAAGGATATGATACTCAGTCTGCAACTGAGAATGAAAAGAAGTATATGTACATAACTTCTGATAAATCGGGAAAAAGGCTTATATTGGAAAAATTTCCAAAACTTCCTTCAGGATTGCATTATACTCATATAAGTGCAATCGAATCGCATCTAGTGATTAAAAGAAATCCAGAAGATTTCACATTATGGCATGATCGCCTCGGTCATCCAGGCACCTCGATGATGCGAAAAATCATAGAGAGCTCACATGGACACCCATTGAAAATCCAGGAGATATATCATGGGAATAAAAAGACATGTGCCGCATGTTCTCTTGGAAAACTGATCATAAGGCCATCGCCAACTAAAATTGATAAAGAATCACCAAAATTCCTTGAACGAATTCAAGGAGATATTTGTGGACCAATACATCCACCATGTGGACCATTCCACTATTTCATGGTATTAATTGACGCATCCAGCAGATGGTCACATGTTTGTCTATTATCATCTCGAAATATGGCATTTGCGAGATTTCTTACTCAAATAATCAAACTGAGGGCTCAGTTTTCTGATTACCCTATTAAAAGAGTTAGACTAGACAACGCTGGTGAATTCACATCCCAAGCATTCAATGATTATTGTATGGTAACGGGAATTGAAGTTGAACATCCTGTAGCTCATGTTCATACACAAAATGGCTTGGCGGAATCATTAATTAAACGTCTGCAATTGATTGCAAGACCATTGATCATGAGATCAAAACTTCCAACCTCTGTATGGGGACATGCCATTTTGCATGCAGAAGCACTCATTCGGATAAGACCAAGTGCATATCATAAATATTCCCCATTACAACTAGTATTTGGTCGTGAACCAAATATATCCCATCTAAGAATTTTTGGTTGTGCAGTGTATGTGCCTATAGCACCACCACAACGTACAAAGATGGGACCACAAAGAAGGTTGGGAATATATATTGGCTGTGACTCTCCATCAATTATAAGATACCTAGAACCGCAGACTGGTGATGTTTTTACGGCACGTTTTGCCGATTGTCACTTTGATGAGAAAGTATTCCCGGTTCTAGGGGGAGAAAATAAGCAAGTAGGAAAAGAAATTAAATGGTGTGTACCATCCCTGTTACACCTTGATCCTCCTACAAAACAGTCAGAAATAGAAGTTCGACGAATTGTGCATTTGCAAAGTATAGCAAATCAACTTCCCGATGCTTTTGCAGATACCAAAACGGTAACTAAATCATATATACCAGCTGCAAATGTTCCTGCTCGAATTGAAATACCACAAGAAAGTGGAAGAGCAGATGATACACGTGAGTCTAAAACACGCTTGAAACGTGGTAGACCAGTTGGTGCTAAGGATAAAAATCCTAGAAAACGAAAGGAAGTTGAAAAGCATGATATTCCCAAAATAGCAGAAAGCATTTTGGAAGAAACGAATCATGAGTCTAATGACAATGATGAGCATCATGAGCCTGAAGGAAATCATGAGATTTCTATCAACTATATCCATAATGGAAAGATCTGGGATCGAAATAAAATGG